TCATTAATTGTATTTTTAGTTTCACCCTAAAAACTTAAAATACTAAAATATGTGCCAATGCAAGAATGATTTAACCCCATAGGATTATGGTTAAATTGCTAACTCATTGTTTAAGAATACCAATTGATTCCAAGGCCATAATAAAATGCTTATAGGTAAATATTAAAGAATCAAATCAAACCAAAGGCCTGTGTATTCACAGTTTCCTTAAATCGAATTCGCCACCTCACCGGAGTGCAAGAGGTTTTGATCGGTGTTCGATTCCCAGGATACAATCGGTTGTCGGTTCAAGCTGTACTACGTTAACCGCCTGCGAACTAGCTGTGATATACTCTATCTCACAAAGAAATTATAAGCACAAGGAAGAATTTGAAAGTGAGAAAAAGAAGATTGTTGCTTAGAGGAAGAAGCTTGCATTTCACTTGTGATTTTCCAACTTAGAGAGACTCATATTTATACCAATGAAGGAAAAGCCAGCTCATTAATCAAGGTGTTAAACTATTCATTGATAAAGGAGTTAAAAATATGAAGGGACTTGAGTTACTTGAGTTACAACATATGAAGAGACTTCTATTCAATATTTTTCATTCAATTCTAACAATCCCCCACATGAATAAAAAATGGAAACTAAGACTCAAGAGGAAAGAGAGAGTAAAACGAATCAATCCTGCATAGGATAGGTAGCATTTAACTTTGAACCTTCCCTTGTGAAACCTATTGGGAATTACTGGCAAACCAGTGAATCTGATGCCTTGAACTGTTTCGCCATTTGTGTAAACCAAAACAATAGATCTCATACAAGACCATTCTAGTCACAGCATAGTCCTTACTGTTGTGTTCGTTTTGGCCATGAACACATCGCCTGGTTCTGCAAGTGTTTTTTCAAGGATGTAGCCTTGCCAATCCTTATAGAAGCGACGCTACTTCACACTCACATAGGTGACCTTTTAACTCAGTTTTTCACAACAACGCTTAATGGTCATTAAAAGCATAGCTTAACCTGCATCTTCCAATCACTGCGAGCACCATAGGAATGAGCATAAGGAGAACATTCTCAGTGATTTACACAGATATACATGTTTTAGTTGTTTTTTTGAACCTATATCCTGGGATCTCCATTCAGCTAGGTTGGGTTTCCACCATGATACCTTTCAACGTCATAGGCTGCAAGCCCATTCCCATCGATGCTTTTACAACTAGCTCTCGAGTTAGCCCTTTGTTTTAGCAGGTCCGTAATATTATCCTTTGACTTCACGTAGTCCAGAGTGATACCTTGTGAGAGAAGTTGTCGAATGGTATTGTGTCGCCTTCGAATATGGCGAGACTTACCATTATACATATTGTTCTGTGCACTGCCAATTGTTTATTGATTATCGCAATAAACACAAATTGCAGGCATATGCTTCGACCATCTTGGAATATCCTCAACAAACCGGCGAAGCCACTCTGCTTCTTCAGTTGCTTTGTCCAAAGCAATGAACTCTGATTCCATTGTAGATCTTGCGATGCAAGTTTGTTTGGACGATTTTCAAGAAACAGCTGCACCACCAAGAGTGAAGACATATCCACTAGTAGACTTGGTATCTGACATATCTGATATCCAATTTGCATCAGGATAACCTTCGATTATTGCAGGGTATCTAGAATAATGCAGTCCAAAATCACGAGTGTGCCTTAACTAATGTAGCACCCTAAAAATGGCTTTCCAGTGGACAGCACCTGGATTACTCGTGTAGCGACTCAATCTGCTAACTGAGTATGCTATATCCGGTCTCATACAAGTCATTAAATACATTAAACTCCCAATTATCCAGAATATTCTAATTGTGATACACCATCACTAGTGTTCTTGGATAAGTGGAGACTCAAATCCATTGGAGTCCTGGCCACAGTGGTATCTGACTTGTTGAACTTGTCTAGTATCTTATCAATGTAATGAGATTGAGATAACACAAGTCCATTTGGTGTTCGAGTAATTTTTATTCGCAAAATGACATCCACGAGACCCATATCTTTCATGTCAAACTTTGGTGCTTGCTTCAAACCATACAACGATTTAACTAGTCTACAAACTTTCCTTTCTTGACCTAGAGCTGTAAACCCCTCTAGTTGCTCCATATAGATTTCTTCATTCAAATCTCCATTTAGGAAAGCTATTTTTACATCCATCTGATGTATTTCCAGATTTCGCAAGGCCGCAATAGCAATTATCATCCGGAAGAAGTTATTCTCGACACAGGAGAATAAGTATCAAAGTAATCTAAGCCTTCCTTTTGCTTATAACCTTTGATTACTAGCTGAGCTTTAAATTTATCAATGGAGTCTTTCGCTTTCATCTTCTTCTTGAAGATCCACTTGTAGCCCAAAGGCTTACAGCCCGGTGGAAGATCTACTAACTCCCAAGTATGATTCTGTAGAATGGAATCGATTTTACTTTTGATGGCTTCTTTTCACAAATGACCATCTGGAGAAGATATAGCTTCTTTATAGCTATGAGGATCATTCTCCATCAAATATGTGAGAAAATCAGGGCCAAACGTCTTAGAAGTTTTGGTCCTTTTGCTCCGTCTAGGCTCATCCTCACCTTCTTCAACTGGATCTTTACTGCTGCCAGAAGCAGAAGATTTCATTGTCTGTTTAGTAAGAGTTAACTGTTTAGGAGACTTACTAAGAAATATATTCTTAAAGAATTGTGCATTCCTAGACTCCATAATCGTGTTCGGATGAATATCAGGTACATTCGAATAATGCACAAAGAACCTATATGCACTACTATTTTGTGCATTACCAATGAACACACAATCAACTGTCTTAGGTCCAATCTTGACCTCTTAGGAGGAGGCACCATAACTTGAGCAAGACACCCCCGCATTCGTAAGTATTTATATGAAGGTGTCCGATTTGTCCAAAGTTCATACGGAGTTTTATCCATATTCTTTCTTAACACCTTATTCAAGATGTAATTTTCAGAAAGAATAGCTTCTCTCCACATGTTCTGTGGTAATCCAGAACTAATCAACATAGCATTCATCATTTCCTTTAAAGTTTTATTCTTACGCTCAGCAATTCCATTCTGCTGAGGTGAATAAGGTGCAGTAGTTTGGTGAATTATTCCATGTTTAGCACAAAATTCACCATACGGTGATTCATATTCACCACCATGATCACTCTGTAGTACCTTTATTTTCTTACCAAGTCGATTTTCAACTTCATTCTTATAAAGAATGAATTTATTGATAGCTTCGTCTTTGCTTTTAAGCAAGTACACATAACAATATCTCGTGCTATTGTGGACAAAAGTAATAAAATACTTATTACCGCCTCGTGTTTGAACAGATTTCAAGTCACATACATCACTGTGGACTAGTCCCAATGGCTCGATACTTATTTCAATACTATGAAATGAAGACCTAGTAAGCTTAGATTCAACGCATGTTTCACATTTATAATTTGAATCAATTTGAAACCCAGGCAAGTAATTTAGTTTGCTCAATCTACGTAAAACATTGTAATTTACGTGATCTAATCTACCATGCTACAGATTAGGAGACTCAAGCAAGTAAACAGAAGGAGTTTTCTCATTACTCATAACAGTTGGGGTTACAGCAATTACATTCAATTTAAACAGGCCATCGGTCATATAGCCTTTCCCAATATAAACTCTTATTTTGGTAATCACCAACTTATCCACCTCAAAGACCATGCGAAACCCATTCTTGCTCAGAAGAGACCCAGAGACCAGATTCTTGCAAATCTCTGGCACGTGCAGCACATTAGTCAGAGTAAACTCTTTGCTAGATGTCATCTTCAGGATCACCTTGCCTTTACCAAACACTTCAGAAGTTGCAGAGTTTCCCATGAACAACTTTTCACCATTTGTACCTGGTGCAAAAGTAGTGAACATACTCCTGTTGGAGTAGACATGGCAAGTGGCCCCAGTGTCCAGCCACCACTCCTTTGGGTTAGACCCCACTAGGGTAACCTCACTAATCATCGTCGTGAGGTTTTAGCTCAGACATTTCATCTGAGAGATGATCTCTCTCATTTCCAACCATATTAGCCTGAGGACACTGCTTATTATCCCTCCGAAGCTGATGACAATCTGCTAATCGATGCTCAACTTTGTCACAATTGAAGTACTTTCCATTGAACTGGAACTTAGGTTTCTTTCATACCCCACCTGCAAGCTTCAACTGAGACCCTTTCGTAGCCTGTTTTTTATCTTTTCGATTTTCGTTACCCTGTTGGGTTTTAAAGGAGTGAACTTTCTTAGTACCAGAACTTTGGTCGTACTCCAATACATTAGCCTTCTCAGAGTAAGAATTCTCTGACTTACATTCAGCCCATTTGTTATCCTTCTCAATGCGCAGCTTGATAATTAAATCCTCGAAAGACATCTCTTTCCTCTTATGCTGCAAATAGCTTTGGAAAGCTTTCCACTGAGGAGGTAGCTTGTGAATAGTAGTAGCCACCTGTAGAGATTCTGACATAGTCAGAACCTTAGCATGCATTTCTTACAAAAGCACTTGATACTCCTGCACTTAGCTCAAGACTGAATGTGAATCAACCATTTCAAAGTCCATACACCGACTGGCTAAGAATTTCTTAGATCTGGCATCCTCGGTCTTATATTTCTTTTCTAAGGACTCCTAGAGCTCCTTAGCAGACTTCTTTACCACATATACGTGATACAAAGAATTCTGTAGGCCATCCAAGACATAGTTGCGGCACAAAAAATTAGCATTTTTCCAAGCATCCCAAGCTGCACGCCTATGCACATCAGTGTCGTTTTCAGCCACGATAAGGGCATCCTCAGTGAGGAAACGTGCAAGGCCCAACGTAGTGAGATAGAAAATCATCTTATTCTGCCATGTCTTAAAATTAGTACCAGCAAACTTATCAGGTCGAATTGCATGATTCACCGAAAATGGAGCCAGAAATGATGGCAAAGGTGCCGAAGCCGCAGCCCTAGGCACTGGCAAAGGTATTGTGCCAAACTGGATTGATGAGACTGTAGCCGAAGGCAAAGTTGGGTTCACTCCAACATAAGGAATCCCGCCTCCAATTATCCCGTCAATGGGAGAAATGTCAGTCGTGGTCTCCATAGGGTTAACCACGGTCATTGCAGGATTTGGTACACCGGTACCAATAGTGTTGCTTCCGTTGTTCACATCGTGACTTCCATGTGACGCCATTGAATCGGAACAAGCAACAAATAATTTAGAATAATTGTAAGTTTGTAAAGTTGTATATAAATTTGAGATCAAGTTATCTGTTCAGAAAATAAAATCTCAGAGTTGAAGAACATATTATTTTGTCAAATTATTAACAACTTAATAATCATTTAAAATGAATTAGAAATCATGCAAAAACCATGAACTGAAAAAATTTACAAAAACTAATGAACAAAATTTGATTTACTAAAGCCAATTCGATTTAAGCTTGTAGGTAAATATTAGAGAATCAAATCAAACCAAAGGCCTGTGCATTCACAATTTCCTTAAATCGAATTCGCTACCTTACCGGAGTACAAGAGGTTTTGATCGGTGTTCAATTCCCAGGATACAATCGATTGTCGGTTCACGCTGCACTACGTTAACCGCCTGCGAATTAGTTGTGATATATTCTATCTCACAAAGGAATTATAAGCATAAGGAAGAACTTGAAAGTGAGAAAAAGAAGATTGTTGCTTAGAGGAAGAATCTTGCATTTCACTTGTGATTTTCTAACCTAGAGAGACTCCTATTTATACCAATGGAGGAAAAGCTAGCTCATTAATCAAGGAGTTAAACCATTCATTGATAAAGGAGTTAAAAATATGAAGGGACTTGAGTTACTTGAGTTACAATATATGAAGAGACTTTTATTCAATATTTTTCATTACTTCTATTCAATATTTTTCATTCAATTCTAGCAGTGTAAATAGTTGTTCTTTCTTTGTACTTCATCTTTCCCGTTTTCTACAACATTTTTCTCCTTCTTTTGGCTCAGTTCTAGTTTCCCAATTATAAAAGAATGCACGCACATTTTTTCTTTATCCAAACACATAATTTGAAACTTACGGTCGACTTCTATGATTGGAAATAATCAACTATCAAATGATTCTCAACAACCTTATAATAAAATGAATATATAAGTCAAGAGAACAGTAAATCACAAAACACAGTCCAATGACATTAGTAAGTTCCCAGAATTTTATAAAGTTGATGATTATGTGGACATAACTCATATTATGATTGAAGATTTTTTTTCCCAGAGGGCATTGATTTACACATGATAATTTCTAAACATTGACCATGATAGCATGTGACATTCATATGAAATCCAAGAATAAAGAATAAAGTTAATAGGAATATTGCATCATCTAGCAAGGTAATTTTACGCTTACTCTATTGAAATTTTAGAAAGAAATTCTGCAAACTCAATATATAATCAATTTGATAGATACTATTCAATAATGAGTAAGAAGACAATGAAGGAATATCAAAGAAAAACTAATGCTACTAAAACAAACCTTTGTTTATATGGTCCTAGAAATAATTCTTGTTATGCATAATTATTGTTATTCACTCCACAGGGTTCCAAGCAAGATCCTCGCACAGTCCATTTTCAATGTACCTTTTGAAAAATGATTCTACAATACCATGTACACCACCTAGTAAGATGCCTATCAATGAGAAAGTTGATATTCATGAGGGCTAAGAACACTTGCTCTCCTGTGTAATTCAAGATCGCAGGCATTTGAAATGGCTTTCAACATGACACAAGAAGACTAGTCATCAGAGAGAGAAACTTAGAAAAGGAAATGGAAGGGAGAACTTAGAAAAGAAATTATAATATGACGTCATCCTCAAGAGTAGGTATGTGGTATGCTCACATGAAAATAAAGGAGTAAGTTTGCAGATGGCATCGTGCTTCTATCGAAGAAATACCAAGTAATCCAATCATCTTCATTGACATCCTACAAAAGATTTATAGCGATGGTTATTTAGTATCCTTCTGTTTAAACTTTGATGAGAACAATTTAGGAGCTAATGTTTATAGGAATTAACAATATCTAGAGCCTATTTGGCATGACTTTTGAAAAGTCAAAAGTAGCTTTTGAGGTTCAAAAGCTG